TTGTGCCTGGCAATTTTGTGCAGTTTATTAGCAATGGTAAATGTATTTTTTTCTCTAATGCTTTGTAAGAGAAAGTAAGTTTGCAGTAAGTTAAACATTTGTCATTGTTATATAACCCAAAGAACTAGCGATGAAAATTATTCTGCCTTTCTCTAGAGCTCTTCATTTATATTCCTAAAGCATTCATGGTGAGCTGTAGCAGAGCAGGGGACAGGTCACTGGACTAGGAATCTGAAGACTGAGTCACTACTTACATGGTGACTTGGAGGGAGTAACTTCCTTTCTCTTTGCCAGTTTCCCTTCATCTGTGTTTTAAAGTCTCAGACATGATACATTAAGTAATGAGATTCTGTGCAGAATAGAAATCTTTCTAAAAGATGGATGCTTGTGGATGGATTTCTCCGTTCCTGCTATGCTGGAGTTTCATTGTGCCTTTGCCACGTGCCCGTAGCAGCTGAATATTTCACTCACCCAGACTGGTTTCATTGTGTTCTGCAGTGGGGGGCAGTGGAATATCAGTTATGGGATTTTGAGCACGAGTTACAAAAACCCAACCCAAGGAGCTCAAGCATTTTTGTTGACATCCATGCTGCTGCATCTTGACCTGTTAATGCTTTTGGCCAAATGAAAGCCAGGATGGGTGTTCCTGCATGTGTTGTACTATAGCCACAGTTTTTGGAAGAGTGCAGTCGTGGTAATGGTGTGCTCTGCTTCCCGGACAGATTCCACGGGACACCGCTGTTGTTCATCCCAGTAAGCCTGGCACACCTGGGCAGGGCTGGATCAAGCCATCAAGCCCATGAACTTGATTCTCTTTGAGAAAGAACTGGTTTCTCGAACCTTAGACTCATTGGAAAATGCTCAAATGACCTTTTGTTTCTGTTCCCAGGGTCCTAAGAGGGAAATTCCACGAGAACTGTTAATTCTAGAGTAGACAGCAAAACACTATGATTTCCTTAGGGAAAAAAAACAAACAAGCACACAAAAAATTTTTTTGCCCCCTGACTTCAATCTCCAGGGCATTTCCAGTGTCCCACCCATTTATTGAGAGGCAGCTTGGGAGCATTTGAAAGAAGGTGCTTTCTGTGTGTCCTGTTACCATTGGCAGTAGTCTTCACCGTCTTAGGCCAGGAAAAGTAGGTAGAACTCTCCAAGACGAATGCTTTAGTTTCCTCACAGCCATTTTGCTTTGGTACAGCATATGCTACCTGTGATAATGGGACAGAGATACATTTTCAAAGCTGCTACTGACAGATCTTGGGATGTTTTTTTTTTATATTTTACAGCTGACTATGAACTCACTCAACTCCAGGAAAGACTGAGAGAGACAGAAGAAGCTATGGAAAAATTAATCAACAGAGTAGGACCTATGTATGACAGGTGTGTATCAAATTACAGCATTTTAAGGAGACATCCTGCTCTGATTAGAAATTAAACTTTCTTGCATTATCTATATTAAAGTAGCATTTTTATTGCTACTTCAAATTGTAGAAATTTGATTTTACACATCACACTTTTTGTTCTGCAGTTTTTCTCTTTTCAGCATCATTGTGTAAAATAAATATTTTTTTCCAACTTCATTTTCCTTAAACAGAATAACAACTATCCCTACCTTTCCCTTTTTTACAGTGTGTTATTTGGAAGAAGATGACAGGTAGATGTAAACAGAATATAAAACCTCTACATTTGAAGTACATAAAACAACCTGTCTTATGTGACCAAAGTAATATCCTGAATTATTCTTTTCCAGTTCTATGGATTATTTTTCCAAATTGAAATCTATATATATTCCTGTTAGAGTAACCATAAAATATTTCTTTAAAGGCAGAATTGTATAATATCTGATTACATAACTTAGTTCCTCGCTGTAACCAGTAAATTCATGCATATTATATTCTGAATATAAAAGACAAAAGAGTTATAAAATTGGCATTTAAAATTTTATTATGTTTATTAATGCTTGCTAAAACCCCCATACCACTATTCTACATCACAAAGAAACACTGGAAAGAAGCCTGTGTTTTCCATTTTGAATATAAAGAACAGATCAATAGGACAGTGCATAACTGCAGTGTCTGAAAATGGAAATACCATGAATATTAACGTGAGGTTTGCAATCAAAGCCAATAGCTGTTCAGGTTGTAACGCATGTTAACTTTGTCTGGGCCAGCCAAGGCCTGTTTTAACCCATTCTGTAGGAACAACTCTGTGCTGAACTTGCACATTTTGTTCGTTTATGCTTCAAAGTGTGTAGTTTTGCCCACTCTTGCATGGCCTGTATTGCAGCTGCACTCAGCTCAGGCAGACGAGGTGCTAGGCTTGCCCATGTTCAGCCAGGTTCCAGCAGGAGAACCCCTGAGCTGCCCTGGTTTAGTCAGTGGAACAGAAGGATACCACCGTGACTATTAGTCCTCTCTGTCCTGGAGAGCTGACACAATGCTCTGTGCCTACCTTTAAGCTGACAGAAATAGGCTTATGAGCTGCCCAGACATTGTGCTGACTCTCAGGATAGGATATTTTTTTACGGAGAAAATCGGTTTAGGGTCTGATCCAGTATTTGTTCCACTCTGTGTTATTGGCTCAAAGCCTCTATTTAGTGGAACTTCCCTTCTTTGTTCAACCAAACTATTTATATACATGGATCTAAAGGTCTCAGGGGAAATCAGAATCTGAATTTAATGAAGAATTTTGTATGTAGCCTCTTTGAAGAGGAAGGGGAAAGCACCTCCAGATGGAGCAAATCGCTGTTTTTAAATACACTCAGATTTGGAAGCTTTCTTAATCTACACTGTGATGCTCATTAAGTTCATTAATACTGGATGAATGTATTAAAATAAAATGTATGGTAGAAAGTGTATTTAGAGCACAGAGTACTGAGCTAGCCTTGTTCAAGTCTGGATGTTGATAGATTTAAATAAAAAGGAAAGAAGAAGACAGCAAAAATCACTTGAGTTTCATTTTTCATATGCAATTAAACAAATTAAATTTGGGTGGTAGCTGCATTTCAATAATGATAATTTTAAGATCATGAAGCTAAAAAAGCACCAGTTAACATGTCTGAGATGCCATGTTAGATTATGGATTTTCACTGCAGTCACGATGGCTCTTCAGGAAATGTTCTTCCTCAGAGTAAGAATAAGAAACCTTTACTTTACTTGTTAGTGAACACTTTGGGACTCTACAAAATGTTATCATTGCCATTATGAAAAGTAATGGTTGCGTTGGAGCTACAAATACAGAGAGCAAAAATAATGACCTTTTCTTACTCTGTAAACCTTCTGCATCTGTTGTCCTCTAAGTATTCCTAAGAACATTATATCCTGGTGAATCTCTCATGTGCGGGGCAGCCAGATGTCTTACACATTGCCAGCATCCTACAGTAAGTCTTCCCAGAGGCCTTAAATGAAGTGGAAATCACACGTGACCTTTAGTTTCTCCCTCTCTAGAGGGAGCAACTAAACTACTTGTCTTTTAAGCAAGGTGTTTGGAGGAGGAATAATCTGAAATATTTGTGTTGCAATAAGACAGGAGCATTTTCTAATGAGAGTATCCTGCATATTAGGAATTTTCCTGTATGAAGTGCTGCAGTGACGCAGCTGCATTGATTGATCCTATTATCTGAGCTAGCATATCTTCCCATTGTGCTAAACAGATAGGCCTCTCTGTCTTCATCCAAGTGATATATATTCAAATTAGGTACAGTTTTGTCTGTAAAAAGAGCATTAGTTTGGCAATTCTGTTACAGCTTCAAACAAAGGCAGTTAGCTGATGAAACCATTCCCTTTTTTTGGGCCTTTTAATTCACGTCTCAGATTCTACATCTGCATAACCCAGGCTTTTGAGAAGATGCTGCTGCCTCACAGCTTCACTTGTTTTGTAGAACAGACTGCCAGCACAACTTGACAGAACTCAATGCAGCCTCCCTATAGTGTTGGGATATCAGTTTCTCAAAATGTGGGGCCAAGTGCCCCTCAGGGGAAATGTAGATAAGGGATGTTTTGCCTTGTGATCTCAGTCAAGCAGTTCAATCTGGGTAGGTGCTAATGAAACCAGCAGGCCTGCTCCTGAGCTGGGTTCAGTTACAGACACCTGTGTTCACAGCTGTGCCAAAAAAAAAAATCTAGCCCAGGATCAGAACTCCCATCACCATTGCACCAACCAGCAGTAGGATGCTTGGCTTTGAACCAGTGTCACTCTGCCTTTAGTTGAGTAGCCATCGTGTCACCCATCATTCCTGTGTATGTAGAGTGGCACAAAGTACCTTCTGGAGTGCTGCTCTAGTCCCAACAGCTGGTAAGAGGAAAAACTGAAGAGGAGCACTGCAAGTTTATGAGAATTCAAGTAAATAAAACAAGGCTTAGACAGATACTAACCACCTAATGATGCCCAGAAAAGAGCAGATAAAAAAACTGTTTAGACAGAGTTTTATGTCTAAAGCAGCAGGTATTTATTTATTGACGGCCGGGCAGCCTGCCAGCTAGTGCTGGGAAAACAGGCTCCCCTTTGGTTAGGTTACAGTGAGTTTTTTATACAGGTTTGGCAATGATTACAACATAAATTACAATATTCATAACAGGTG